TCTAAGCCAACATATGCTGCAGAGGCAGATCGATGATTTTAATTTTATGAGTTCAATATTTAAAACGTTTAGTACTGAAACCATTACATTTTTAAAGTTATGGGTTCATATGCACTATTTGTTACAATTTTATAAATTTATATTCAGCGCTGAAAGTACTGCGCAGTTGAACCCGATAACACTATGTTGCATCCGCCTCTGTGCATGTGTTTAATTTCTTATTTGACAGGTCTAGAAAAGATTGACATGGACGAGGATGAGAGGAAGACTAGGCTTGGGTCAATCAAGAAAGCGGCAATTAATGCCTCCGCCAAGTTCAGGAATTCTCTAACAAAGAGGGGCCGCAGACACAGCAGAGTCATGTCTGTTGGTTTTGAGGATGAACATGATGCAGAGGAATTAAAGGCAGTTGATGCTTTCCGTCAAGCACTTATCCTTGACGAATTACTTCCCGCAAAACATGATGATTATCATTTGATGCTAAGGTAACCAAAAATCCTCATTTCCTTATGTACATGATAGAAATATACCTTTGTTTTTTCATGCTAAGTGGATTTTTTATATAAGAAAAGGGTAAAAAAATATCCTTTTACTGCACAAAATATCTAAATTTTGCGTCCTTTTGTTATACCTTGAGGCCCTTATAGTTAGCAAATCATCTCTACTTGTCCTTGACCCAAGCGGAGAGAAGTATAACGGAGGATAATTTTAAACCATACTCAAAAGTAGAGGGGTAAATTTGGACCTTTTTCTCGAAGTATTTTGACACATGGATCCACCCAATCCATGCTGCAATTTCCTTGAAGTTAACAGGGAATGGGCCAAAAGTGTAACAAAGAGTAAAATTAAGATATTTTAGTAGAGGGATAAATTTGGACTTTTTCTCGAAATATAATTCATGACAGGTTTTCATTGTGAATGATGTACACAGGTTCTTGAAAGCTAGGAAATTCGATATTGAGAAAACAAAGCAGATGTGGTCTGATATGCTTCAGTGGAGGAGGGAATTTGGTGCAGACACCATAATGGAGGTACTTTGAAAATGCTAGTGAGAATTTGTTGGGAAAACTATATAATCTAACATTTTTAGGAACTGATCAATGCATTTTTGCACATCTTTATTAGGACTTTGACTTCAAGGAAAAGGAACAAGTTCTAAAGTACTATCCACAAGGGCATCATGGAGTTGACAAGGAAGGCAGACCAGTTTACATTGAAAGAATTGGTCAAGTAGATTCTGTCAAACTATTGCAAGCCACGACAATGGAACGCTACCTCAAGTACCACGTACAGGAGTTCGAGAGGACCATTAATGAGAAAATGCCAGCCTGCTCACTTGCAGCCAAAAGACACATTGACACAAGCACAACCATTCTGGATGTCCAAGGAGTGGTATGATTGGATCTCAAAACCTAGTTAGTCTGATTTAATCTGTTATATCAGATAACATACCTTATTTTTTGGGTTACTAATTTAATATACGCCAACGCCTTAGGGACTTAAAAATTTCAACAAGTCAGCAAGGGATCTCATTCAACGCCTCCAGGCTATTGACGGCAACAATTATCCTGAGGTACTTCTTTCCCTTTCACTAAGCTGAAGGCTGAAGCCCTGCATAACAGCCATTCATATATTAATAAGAGTTTTTTAAGTCCTGTTGTTTAATTGAATTATTTATTCGCTTTGTAGAGTTTGTGCCGCATGTACATCATCAATGCTGGTTCTGGATTCAGGCTCTTGTGGAACTCTGTCAAGTCGTTCCTTGACCCAAAGACCACCCAAAAGATCCATGTAAGTCCATAATCAGCCTAACTTCCAAGTACTGTTTCTGTCATTTTCATTAGAATAACAGAAGTATCATTCTTTTTCTTTTTAGGTTCTAGGCAATAAATACCAAAGCAAATTGCTTGAAGTAATTGATGCCAGGTAACTCTAGTAGTACTTAAACTTACTCTTTACTTAAGGTGAAATTGTGCATTGCTGATTAGATTATCGCATAGAGCCTGATTTTGATTTGCTTCTACTGCATTTTACCAGCGAATTACCAGAGTTCTTAGGGGGCACATGTACTTGTGCTGACAAAGGAGGATGCATGCTTTCTGATAAAGGCCCGTGGAATGATCCAGAAATAATGAAGGTAACTTTCAACCTTGTAATTTTAATAAGTCATGTTCAGTGCTGTCGACTGACAGCACGTTATCGCTCAGTAGTATCACTTTCCTTTGACATGCCTGAGATCTGTGATTGATTTGATGTCAGATGGTTCGCAATGGTGAGCATAAATGCTGCTCACACAAAATTGTGGTCTCATTTGATGAGAAGACTATCCCAGAGGATGACAATGCTAACACCAAGGTGTGTATACTCTCATGTCTGCTGTTTTTATATCAGTTACTTTTATTGCTCGTATAATTATGAAGTGATTAAATATATTTGCAGAATGTAAAGAAGAACACTTCCTTTAAAAAGGGAACCGACTCTCCCAACGTTCAAAGGGATAATATGGCATATGGCCAGCTTTCCCCTGTTCGCGAGGAAGTAAGTTGCTTCTTCATCCATAATTTTTGGGACTAAAGAGTAAACTTAATGCGAATTCAGTTTTCACCTACATATCTGCTTTCTTTTAAGGAAAAAATGGGACAGGAAGAGTTGGCAGAGTAGTTTGTTTAGTTTCTTCACTTCTCTAATACTTTAATGGGTTTCATATTCTAACACCAACGATTCATCCTCAACTATACCCTAACCCAAATTCTACATTTTGGTTTTAATTTTCAGTTTGATATCCCTATTGTGGACAAGGCTGTTGATGCAACTTGGCATAAAGTTGTAAAAGCTAACAACTTTGCCAATTCTAAAGGTACAATACTCACTCATTATTAAGTGTTTCACATTGGTTGAGGGAATGTGTTGTTGGTTTTATATGGTCTCGAGCAATCTTTACCTCATATGATAGCTTTCGTGATTGAGTTTATCCCAAGGTTCATTTTCTTAACATAGTATTAGAGTTAGATCCATCTCAATTCTTGGTTTACCCAATGTTAGACCCCATGTTATGTTGTTCACGCTCTAAATGTCCCGGGGCATGCCAGGGAGTATCAAATCTTTTATATTTCTTCAATATTCAGTTTGCACGCATCTGTTTTCCGGAGGTCTACAGCCAGTGGCATAGCTAGTTATTCCTTACATAGTGACCAAAGTGATTACTGGACAATGAAAATATTAGTAGGTGTCCCTGAAGCTATTCCTGTAATAGGATCACCTTTGGTAAGAATTACTGCATGGAAGCGCTAGAGTGGGCCAATTTGCTTTGACTCATGTTTACAGTTTACATGCTATTTCTAAATATTGTCGTTAAGTGTCTACATCCTGTCTCCTTATTTGGTATTCGACATCTTCACCTTATGAGCTAACTTTTGAGATTGAGTTGGACCTAATTTATAACATTCTCATTCGTAGCTGATGTTCCACTGATTCAAATAACCAGCTTTTTCATTCTGCTCATTCTTCTGCAACATAAACTTGTTTTGCTCTGTTGATCTACAGATTTCTTCCCTGTGCACGATACTTGCAAGTCGCCCGAAGGATTTAGCAACCCCGTATTCAGTGGAGTGATGACTTTAGTCATGGGAATTGTGACATTGGTTCGGATGACTAAAAACATGCCGAGAAAGCTTACAGATGCTACCCTCTTGGCTGGTTCTTTGTGTAGTGCTGAAATTATTAAAGGACAGCCTCAGTTAAATGGACATGTCATCTCCACAAAAGATTATATTAGCATGATGAAACGCATGGAAGATCTTGAGGATAAGGTCATTACTCTTAGCCATAAACCTTCTTCTTTACCACCTGAGAAAGAGGAAATGCTTAACAATGCCATGAATCGGGTTGATACTTTGGAGCAAGAGCTTTCTGCTACCAAGAAGGTATTATCCTCTTTTTTTCATATTATCTGTCTTTTAATGTTTCTGCACGACCCTTAAAATGACATTTAATAGACTTAATTATAAGAGTATTTGTCTAAACTATCCGTATCTCTCCTTAAACATCTCAGGTAATGAATAGTAACTTCCTATTGTTTTTCTAAAATGTCAAATGTTTTGAAACAATTCTAGTCTGCCAAAACGACTAATATTTGGGACCAGAAGATGTGATTGAGAAGCTTGATGCTCCAAAAAGATTTGAGCAAGAGTGTTAATATACTTTACGTTTAACTGGCAGGCTCTTGAAGAAGCTCTTGTTCGTCAACAAGAGCTCATATCCGCCCTTGAGAAGAAAAAGAAGAAGAAGAAGTTCTTTGTTTTCTAAGCGCAAAAGCTTGAAACAAATTGGAAATATTATAGGGTTGTTTGAATTTCTTTAGATAGATGCAGAGATGGTGATTTTTTGCCCAATAAAAGGCTGTTTGAATGATCTCAAATATTTGTAAAATTAACTCTGTAACACTTGAATATTTTTTACATTACCTGCGAGATTTACATTCACCCATACATCCTATGGAGCTCTAATTGTAAATGCCGTATATTATGGCACATTACGTATACATCGGCTTGTATTTTCTGTAAATAAAAATGAAAGCAGTTTGCTGTTTGCTTTTGTTCAAATTACAGTAGCTATTTTCCATGGCAGCAAAAAATTTCACTACACACATTAGATTGTTCTGTCCTTTTTATTCTTGGTAAGATTTGGAGATAAAGCTTTACCAACCCACTGAATCAAGAACGATTTTGTACTTTAAGGTACAAAGATGAGTTATTGAGAAGGCTTGACAAATTTACTGGTGCAAATTCATATGAATCATTATTTGCCTTTTATTCTTTTACCGTCGACCTCTTCTACTCTATCATTCCTTAATTTTGTTTGCTTTACTTGTTCTTTTAGCTTTCATTGTTTCACTTCAATTCACCTAGATGGAGAAATGTTCCATTGCTCAAGTACTTGGGCACTAAAAATCGCTACCCGCAGAAAGTTTGGGCGTTTCTACTTGAATACAGCACAGGCAGTGATTGTTGAATTAAAACACTTTCAAATGTTACTTCAGTATGTCAAAAACAAACTCACAACAAACTTACAGAAAATATAACTTTTCACATGATGAGAAATTGTGCACCTCATTTTGCAAATGTAACAGAGGATCCGAAAAAGAAAAAAGAAAAAAAGGAAGCACTCAACGCATACTGCGAGTACTGCCTAACACATACATTACAAATATGTATCTCATTTGGATACCACAGTTGAAAATCCGAGATCAACGTCCCGAGGCATCTTCATCTTAAAAGCAAAACTTCTTTTTCTGCAGAAAAATGCATTGAGGATGCAAATCAGCACCAAAGCGCAGATTGTAATGCACACCAACTTAATATAACGAGGAAAGTGCATACGCGTTTCTATTCAAGATGTTTTTCCTTATTAGTTTTTCTCTTAGCAAGTAAAAAGATTTGCACTTCAAATTCTACTAGGCTAAGCCCTAGTCTGATGTTTGTTCAGATACCATGTAATAACAGGAACTCACCCGGAACTTGGCAGCTTCTTGACCATCAATGTAAGCAAGAAGTTCCTCTTGCCTCATCAAAGCCTCATGCAATGCCTGTTCAACCAGAAACAAGCAGGGAAGGAGTTATCGACTCAAGAACCAAGAAAAAGATGTTTGTGATACGGAAAAAAAAAGCTATTACTTTCAGCAAAACATCACTACATTTAATAAAATGCTTACGCTGGCATTTGCACCCATCAAAATAAAATCTATCTCACCATGCAAAAGTAAAACCAACCACCTCAAACCCTTTTTTACCTTTCCTTATGTACAATTCTTTTAGGGATTTACAAAACAGTACAACGTGTCTCGCACAACCAACTGCCACAACAATATTTCAAACTATAAACTACATTAATTAGACCATACATTAGTTAGTCCATATGTAAGCAGAACTGCCAGATGAACAATCATAGAAACAGAAAAAATGCACATTAAAATGCAGGTTCTGGATGGAGCAATGACTATAGGTTTCCTTGCTTATTTAGAGGAACTTCATAAATCGCTTACCTTCTTGGTTGCTATTAACTCAGCTTCTAGGGCATCCACTCGGCAAACTGCTGCATTTAGCAATTCCTCTTTCTCATAAGGCATCTCAGATGGCTTTTCTTGAAGCGTATTTACTTTGTCTTCAAGTTCACCCAATCTCTTGAGAACAACGGAGAGTAGTTGAGCTTCTGTAAAAGCTGGAATAGGTGAAGGGGGCCGAAACTCCTCTTTAGCGCTAGCATCAAAAGTAAATTCTTGACCAGCTTGGTCTTCAACAGTCGATGAATCTTGTAATTTCTTGGTTACATGGCATGTAACTGAGCGGAAAAGCATCAACACCGTCATGAAGAAGGCCATAAAAAGTCCTATAACTCGAGCACGAAGACCTTCTACAGGTTTTTGAGAGTCCGCTGGTGGAAGTATCGCTGAAAAAGTTAACAAGATGGCACCATGTGATTATAAACTAAACAGATTTATGAGACTACTGTTGTACTAGCGCAACAGCCAGCCTAATATGTCCACGTTAACAATGGAATAGTAGTCCAGGTCAAACAGAAAGTACTGGTTGCATGACAGCAACGTGCCAGGTAAAAGTTGAACAAACAAGAAAATATTCACATTTTATATTTTCATGAAAAGAAAACATTTACATTTTGTTTTTTCGTGAAAATAAAATATTCACATTATGCAGGCGTTTAAAGCCTGAATAGTGCATGCAACTTGAAGAAACAAATTAGGATGATTAATATTCAAAGTCGTGACATAAAAACTTCATTAGATGAAAGAGGAGAAAAATGTAAGGAAAATATCAACATCATAACTGCAAAAATATAAGCAATCGTGTGTGCACACACATGTACACCAAACAGTGAGCTAGCTTTTCTTTTTCCTTGATTAGGTGCAAAAATAAAAAATTTACCACTTGAATAAACTAGATGAATTCAGAGATATTTATGCCCCCCCCCCNCGTGTAGCCAGACATTCCAATAGCCTTAGCCTGTTTGATGACAAGAAAAAATTAAATATGAAAATAACTAATAATATGCTCAACTTCCTATTCAAGAAAGGATCGGGGATGTGGTTAGTACTTTTTTTTTTTTTTTTTTTTTTTTTTTTTTTTATATAGTGGTGCTTATGATATATTTGGACTGTTTTCTGCTGTGNTTTTTTTTTTTTTTTTACATAAGGAGGAACAGGGATGTGTTTAATCAAAGTGACACAATCTTGAATCTCAGGCTCATCTCAAACAAGGATGTCAAATAGACAGCCGCAGTTTGACGTAAGACGGTCTTTTTTGTCAAGTGATGTCCAGTCGAATCCTTTCAATAAAAGAAAAGCCACCTCATGAAATTGAGTGAAAACGGACAGGTATACCTCTTCTCGGACAGGAGTAAGCCGAAGATGTGAATAACTCCTTACAGCTTTTGGGGAAGCAATATCTTCAGCTTCAGATCCAGATTCTGCAGTAGAGGTGTCACTACTACCTTTTACCTGCTAAAATAAAACAAAAATGTAACCATCTTCAAGAAAAACAAACTATATGTAGTATTTCTAATACTTTGGAAATACGGCAGAAATCCTACCGTTGGATAGCGAGGCTTAGCATAAACTACCTTCCCTTCACTATTTAGAACTTTAACAAGCTGTTTGGCACGCCGTGCTTCACCAATCATCTGCATCCCAAAAAGAAAGTGGGGTGGGGGTGAGGGTGGGGGTGTTCCATTAGTTTGAAATGTAAACACGTCTGCATCACCAAAAGAGATTGTTTCCCATTATTAAAAACATCTTGGAGACGAACTGTCTTCCTGAATATGTTACGAACAGAGCATCATTAGAAAATAACATTCATCGGCTGCGAGGGCCTTGAAACTACCTTTAGTATATCTGGATTTTGCCATGGCCCTTTATCCGAACGCATGCAACCCCCTCGGCCTGCACATGTACAGGTACCACCTAGGAACTCGGGCAACTCACTGCATCAAAAATCAGTAGAAGAATGTTGAGGGAAACTACCAGAAATGCTACCAAAAGCAAACAAATACAGCAAAATTCTTTGTCTAGTGAATAAGAATTCAGATCCTTTTACCTAGCATCAATTATTTCAAGCAATTTGTTCTGGTACTTGTTCCCTAGAACCTACAAGAGACAAAAAAAAGTAACAAGGTAAATATAACCACTTCTTTTAAAGCAGAGACTTCATAAGTTACAGGAGAAGAGCATCGACAGACATGTATTTTGGAGGCTGTCTTCGGGTCCAGAAAACTCTTAACCGTGTTCCAAAGGAGCCTAAACCCAGGTCCAGCATTGATTATGAACATCTGATGAAGAGTCTGCACATGTCAAAAAAGGGAAAAATCTGTTAATGATCCCAAAGTTAGGAGACTCTCAAAATATTTATTCAGACAGGAATGAAATCATGCCTCGGGATAATTATCACCATCAATCTTCTGGAGCCGCATAATAAGCTCCCTTGCACTCTTGCTAAAGTTTTTCAAGCCCTAAAAATCAACATAGAAAATGAAGATAGGGAAAACATTTATTTGCTCAAAAACTGCTGCTCAAATCATCAAAGGTAGAGAAGGAAAAACTAAACAAGAGGTAACTTACCACTCCCTGAACATCCAAAATGGTCGTGCTTGAATCGATCTGCCTTTTTGCGGCTATTGTACAAGCTGGAAACTTAATCATAAAGGTTTTCTCGAACTCTCGTACGTGGTATTTTATATAACGATCCATGGTTGTGACTTGCATGAGTTTGGTAGGATCAACTTTCCCTAGTCTTTCAATGTACACTGGTCTACCCTCCTTATCAATCCCATGATAACCTTGGGGATAATGTTTTACAACTTCGTCCATCTCTGGGAATTCAAACTCCTGATGAGCGATTAAGTTCAGAAAGCATTTCAGCCTAATTGATGTTACAAACATACAACAAAAAATACAAAAAAGAAAGAACACCGTTCCAGCCACATGCTGTGAGGGATAATATTACCTCCGTAATCGTGTCAGCCCCAAAATCCTTCCTCCACTGAATCATATCAGCCCACATGTGCTTCGCTTTCTCGATGTCAAACTTCCTTGCTTTTAAGAACCTGCAACAGACACAGAAGAATTGTTAATAAGTTGGGATGCTGTTAAACTGAACAACACCAAGAAGAAACAACCAGAAAACGCTAGATCCAGATCCTGCTTAAATTCTCCATACTGCTGCATGTAATGTATGTGTGTATGCTTTTGCATTTTGACCTATTGTAAAATTAAACATCTATACCTGCATTTGATCTATCTTTTGTTCCAGTTCTGGCAGGCCCGTAAGAAAGTTTTTAATGAAGTTGACAAACAAATCCAATTTTTACAGAAGACCTATATGAATAAATTTTTAAACATCAAAGATGTAATTCAAATGACTCGTAAACACGCAGAAACGTCACAGTAAACTTAATGCAGCATAAATCTTATCACTTTGAGCATACATACATGTCGAAGTTACAGGTAACAGGACATTACCTCAACATCATATAGTAGTCATCATGTCTCTCTGGTAACAGCTCATCCAAAAGTAATGCTTGCCTAAACTGATCAACAGCCTGTAGCTCCTCAGCATCCCGAATATCCTCGATGGAAACTGAGCTCACTCGTCCATCGCTTTTTCTTCTACTATTTTTCTTCTTGAGAGAATGTTTGAATTTTGTTGATGCATTCAGTGCTTTCTTTTTCAGGGAACCAATTCTCGTCCTCCTCTCATCCTCTGAATTCTCAAAATCAGATTTTCTTTCCCTTCTCTCTTCACGTGCAGATGAACCCTCAAAGCCTGTTAAGTGGTGGAAAAGATTAGGAGTCGGAAAATCAATTCCAGAATATCCAAAAGGGTGAAGCAGAAGCGTACTGAGAAAACAAACCAGACCAACAAGTCCTAGGCACAAGTCAACTAGAATTCAGCACGTACAGAACAAACTCTTTTTCCTCTAAAAGCCCATTGCGATGTGCGAAAAAACAGAAAATAATAACAATAGTTCCTCTCTACTACATGATTCTATAATTATCTTTTATGTTTCTGTAGATTTTTTCATAAAGAAGTTTCCATACATTTTCGTAATTTAGACTTTCAAGCACTTGTACCTTATGCCCTAAATGGTCAATTGGCTAAGATGGAAAGTAAGGGAGTGAAATAGATACAATGTTTGACTTAAAATTGAACAAATACTTCCTCCTCGACCGAATCACCCTTATGCTCATTTTTATCAAAATTCCCACTTCTATGGAAGCTCATTGTGATAGTTGCAAAAACCAGAATGTGGGTCAAATTGCATCAGTCGATAATACTGAACAGAGCGCTCGACAATTACTGTGAGCATGACCATGTCGTTGTCGAGAGCTGAGACCTACTTTTCCCCAAATAAGAAAACCCAAATCACCAGACAGGACCCAGCATAAACAAAAACGCCACTAAGTAGATTTTATCAAAATCCACACTACTTCAGTAAAAAATCATAATTCCCTCCTAGGATTAAGAGAATCAACAAGAACAACTTCGTATCAATCCCAAACTCGTTGGAGTCCGCTCTATGAATCATTTATACTTGTTATGCTCAACAACAACTCCGCCTTAATCCAAAACTAGTTGGAGTCCGCTATATCAATCATCTACACTTAATATGCTGCATTTTGGTACCTATTTCATTCCGTCAGAAATTGTATTTATTTTTTTCGTCCATATGATAAAACAATAAAAAGAAAAACTACTAAAAAACCTCAATTCAAAAGTAGTTGACTTGAATATATGAATCCTCTATATCTATTCAGCACAATTCTGACCTATCTCATTCCAATACAGTCATCAAAAATCATAAAATTGAAAAATACAGACAAGGTCAAAAGCCCTAATTTTTAACAAGAGAAAGAGCTATAAACTAAAATGACCAATAATGTACTTAAAATTTTGAAAATAAAAATAAAGCATGGAAAATAAAAGAAAATCAAATAAACTCACAAGGCCTAGCAAACCGATCTAACGGACCCGACATGGCTGCCGGAATTCTCAACTCTTGTAGATCGACAAATCAAAATAGCTCCACAAAATCCCTGTAATACCCTCTATATATTCAGAACGAAAAATTAGGGGGAAAAACCTCTAAAAAATTCAGAACAATAAATTCTGAATTTCTGCTATAGCTACCTTTTCCAAGTATATAGGTTGAAAAGACGGCAATAAATGCATAACCAAGAAAAAAAACCTAAAAGAAAATTAAGTGTAACGGAAAAGTGGAATATATGGAGAAGAGGAAGGGTATTTCCGGGAATAAAAAATTACTGGCGCCGTAAGGAAAATATTATCACCGGATAATGCGACGGCGATGATAGAGGAGAAAAGAATAGAGAGAGAGAGAGAGAGAAGTTGGGTTAATCTGTGAGCTGTATATTGGATTTGAATAGGAATATGAAATTGTGGGACCCAAAAAGAAGGTGACAATATTGCCACGTGGATGAGGGAATAGATTTTGTCGGGGTAAGAATTTAGGGGAATAGAGGAATGTGCCGACAGTGTTTGGAGTGAAAACGCCAAAAAGATTATTGTGGTGACCCAATATTATGGTGATTGAGTAATGTTTTTGTCAACTTTGATTGTAGTTTGTAAGTTATCTCCACTGCCTAATAAATTTCTTAAATTAGTAGTTAGTTTTATGTTGGGTTAGGAATCTATTGTAATCCTCTTTTTGTTCGGGTTTGAAATTGGTAATATGAGCAACTTCACACAATAAAAGTTATAAGTATTTTATATTATCACATACGACAATTTAAAAAAAATAATAATAACTTAATTTATTATAAATGGTCAAGTTAAATTGATAATATAAATAATCTTTATGGCAATGCACAATCAATTAATTTTTCTAACTTCTAGTTGGGTGGCACTACAAATACACTTTGTCCAATTGTCCTACCAACTTAAAATGTTAGGTTAACCGCTCAAAAAAGACTAAGCCTAAAATCATGGGTAAATCTAGAAATGCAGCTACCTTTCGATAAAATTCAATAGTTTTTATTGAAAAAGTATATTTATATTAAGAAATTATTAAATATATACAAAATTTAAATTTAATTATTACTATTTGAAGTTATCGTTCTAAATTTTAAAACTCATAAAATTAAAATTTTAATTTCATCTCTGCTTAAATAAGCTCAAATGTCGAAATCATTATAAAAAACCTAATCAGAGTCTAACTCCTGAATTTGGCTTTGAAGCAAATTGTGCTATTAATATGGAGGAGTTATAAAGTTTTGCTATAGGACAAACACAGTACTATAGGTTAATTTTTCGAGGTGACCACGCCAGATATTTTTTTGTGATAATATAAAATACCTATACCCTTGTTATTTTTTTGTTGTTGTTTCTTTCTATTTTCTCCTAAAAGTTAAAAATATATCATGCAGAATGGGTTGTCACGTCATAATTATTAAGTTAGATAGAACTTACAAAGTGTTCTTACTGGGCAGTGGGCACTATAATATTGTCTATACTTGGAAGTCAGAAGGCTTACTACAACTTTCTTGAATTATTGGTATTATTCCAACGGTAAAGGAGCCAGCATTTAAGTATTATATGCTCACCCTCTTGTGAGAGGTCCTTATCACGGGAGGTATATAATTTAGACCTAAAGGTGTCTTTTGTAAGAAGGAAAATAATTTTCGCAAAATAAAAAACTTTTATACTTATTTTTTGAAATTTGATTAGTAAGCGAAAATATTATTTCAACTGTATTTATATACTATAATTTAGGCAAATATTATGAAGGCCGAAATGGGATGGGGACAGAGGGAGGGGAGTTCAGGGGTCGGGGGTCAAGGTTGGGGTTCAGGATTCGGAGATTCAAGGATTTGGGGTCGGTGGTTAATGGGAGGCTATAATTACGTATTTTGGTCACTTATTGCACTCTAACTCACTGTACTTTATTAGTGTTTGAGCTTTAAATGGTATTGTTTTGCACTGAGTGTGTGGTTTATGCTTCGTAGGAGCGATTACGAGTTATGCAGATGTTGTTGAGCGAATTCGAGCTATTTGGAGATTTGAAGTCTGAGTAAAAGTCCAAGGAATTAAGCCGTGATCGTGTTCGGGGTCAACGGACGAGTAGTGCACTTAATGGAAGAAAAAAGAGTTGAGTAGGAGCGAAATTCAGATGCGCGACCGCGCATGAGAGGCCCTCAGCGCGCATACGACCGCGCAAATGATACAGTACTCTGCCAGATTTGCGCGGTCACAGCTCCAGATGTGCGGCCGCGCACGTCCGTTCCGGGAACTTTACCCAGGCCTATTTTGATAAATTCAGAGGCGACTCTTTTTTACCTATATGAAGCATAGCTCGTCTCAAAACAAGGGATCAGCGATTTTGGAGCAACTTTTGGAGAGAAGAAGGCAAGGAAACAACGGAGACTCTAAGTACTTCATCCAATTCATTCAATACGGAAGTTAGTTCGATTTCGTGAATTGTAATGACTTCTTGTTCTTCTAAATACTCTTGCGATGAATAACGTTTCCACTATGGAGTAATCTTTCTTAGGGTTATTGACAGATATTGTGATTTGACTATTGTTTTGCATTTTTACTTTATGTTAATTGTCTGAATTCATTGAATGAGTTATTAATTGAATTGCAAGGCCAACTGTGATTTTACTTTAATCGAAAGAGAAGTGTTGCTGTAATTCGCATTGCGTTATCTTGTTTAGATTGATTTTACGCTTCTCATCCGTAATCGAAAGAGCTTAGAGAGTTATTAATTAATCCAATTTAGAAGAATAGTCGAGAGACGTTCTTCGAAAAATCATGCATTCACTATATTTTTGCATATGTTCATAGAACCTGTCATTAGGTTGGTTAACGGGACTCTCGTTCATTCAAAAGAAGAATTTGAATTCTTAAGATAGCCTAATCATATGTTGAAATCGAAAGAGCCAATAGAAGTTTAGAGTGAACTTAGCACGGAGTTACTCGGAATAATAGCTGATCACTTATCCTGTCACAACCCTTACTTCTCACCTTGATATTCAATCGTTGCTATTTAGTCATTAAATTTCCATTATTTTCTCACAATCGATAATCTTAGTCTTTATCATTAGTCGATAATAACATAAATCAAAGTTTTATCTTCCTGGATAGTGTTAAGCTGAAGGGTTATTAGAACATTATTTAAAACAATCCATGTGGAGACGATTTAATACTATACTATCTTGACTAGCGAGCCTAAGTTTTATATACCGATTTTGCGCTCGTCAGTGGTCGAGATAATTTATTGAACAATTCATTGATTATTTATAATTTAACAATTCATAATCCAGTAACTTAAAATGTTTAGAATTTTAAACCCATAAATTTAAAATCGTAGCACCGCCTCAATGCCTAGCTACGTAATAATTTCGCAGTTGAAGTTGATGCCCTTTTGCTTTCTGCAATTGTCACATTAATTAATAATGTTCTGAAAGGTATGGGAGAGTTCTTCGAGTTATATAAGATTTGGTAGAATTGTGTTGAATGAATTAAAATAATTATGAATGTTGATTGAAATGTTAGTATTTGACTTTTTTGCTAGACGGTGTATGCATAATAATCAATACTAGAGTACTATATATTCGACATTTGTACTTTCCCTACTAATGTGTGTCAAAGGGTGTCATTTTGAATAAATTAGTGTCAACTTATCGGGTAATGTTATTAAATTAATCCCATATTCCATGGCCAAAAAAAAAAAGACTTTAGTATATCTAATGCAACTTCAACTTCCAAATGGAGCACCAAATTACCCCTTAATCAACTTAAAAGTTCCCTTTGCAAAGACTTATTTTGGTTTCATAGTTGACTTGTGGATAAATCACGACTTGAAGAAAAGTGCTCTGAATGTGAGTAACAAACAAAAGCAAAGGGATGCTCCCATATATCAATGAAAAAAGGAATGTACGAGTTCCCCTTCAATGCAGGCACTGGTATTTATTTTCTTTTCTTTTCCCCATGATCCAAATAGCTGATTTTGTATTAAATTCAGTTGAATCCACTACGTTTGACTTGAGTTACTTAATACACATGAATATATCCATTTGACTGTAAACGGATTTTAAGAGAAAAAAGAATATTTTTAAATTTGTGGTGTAAAATGAGACACATATATTTTGTAGGGTTATAAATCATTACATAAAGATAATTTGTTTTTAAATAGAAAAAATGATTATTCATTTTAACACGGACTAAAACAGAAATATATTCACGTGAGTTGAAATGAAGGGAGTATGTAATAGATTGCATTCATTCTTAACGCATTGACTGTCTACGTTCGTTTATCTGTAAAAGTAATTTTTTTTTTGAAGCATTTGTTGTAGCCTAATACTTGTACGGTATACATGCATTCGTGTTTACATCAAGTAATATAGCTTTAGCAGTTAAAATTAAAGCAAGAACGGACGTCAACTACTCATGGATCAACAATAACAATAACAACAACATCAATAACAAATTCAATGAAATCTCTACAAATCGAATTTAGGGAACGTAACGTATACGTAAACTTTATCTCTATCTTGTGAAGATGAAGAGATTATTTCTGATAGACCCTCGACTCAAGAAAGATAAAAAATAATAATAACAACAATACAATATTAACAACAAAAGCCAAAAAGATATAACAACAATATACGGCATGCTTTGGCCTAGTAATTGCCTAGTGTAACTACTGGATGTGAGTAAATTTTTGTTGTGCATGTACTTTAATTAATTCAAACAAACACATGTCCTCATCAATGGCGGAGGCAGGATCTTCACTAAAGGGGTTCAAAAAGAAGAAAGTTAAACAAGATTGTAGCTAGTGAAAATTGAACCTATAATCTTACAAAGGTTTTGAGCCCCCTTGACCACTAAACTATATCTTTGGATTGTATCAAAGAAATTCAAAACTTAATATATAGAGGTAAAAAAGATATATTGTTTTATATATATAATGTAATTTTTTGATAAAGGGGGTTCGGGTCCTAAATGGTCGTGACCTAACTCTCATAAAGAGGTCTATGACAAATTCCTACCGAATCCAACGTAACAAATATTAAATACAAAAGTAACTGTATTTGGTCAGCTCATCCGTGGTAAGAGTCTCACGGTAACTAATTCAAAGTACAAAGGATTAGAATATTTCAAAGACATGAAACTATAAAAGCGACGTTGAATGCAATTGCATGCGTCCCCAAGATAAGACAATACTCCCTCTGTTTTTTTTTTTAAAAAAAAGAATAAATCTTTTACTATTTGAAAAATCAAATAAAATTTTATTTGACCATATTTTTTTGCAAATAGATTTTAATTATTAAATTATTAACTAATGTGACTTATAGTATTTTTTAAGTAACTCCTAAATATGTAAATCTTACT